GCCTTCTGATTCTCGTCCAGCCGGTGGGAAGCTGGGGACAGCAGCCTATGCCGGAGAGCTACAGGGGAGGTTGTATTCACGTCCCCTGGATTCTCCCAGCACTTCCGGAGGACAGAAGTACCATCACGTTCATTTCACAGCCGGGGAAGCTGAGGTCCAGAGAGAGGAAGCCACTCGCGCCCAGGCCGTCCCACCAGGAAGTGGCCCAGAGGGTCTGAAGCACACAGGGGGCTCGGAGGCCGGCCTCACGGCCCCACTGTGCACCCCAAAGCTCGGTCTGGAAACAACTGCTCCTCCTCGGCGTTGGAAAAGCAGCCTCCACTCTAACAAAGATGGGAAACTCTTGCTGCCCGAGGCCCACGCCAGCCACGGGGCAGGAATGTGGGGAGCCTGCGTGCAGGGGTGAGCCCCGAGCGGCAGCATGAAAGCAAAGAAGACTGTAGGGTTCCCGCGTCCGGAACCTCAACAGTTCCGCCAGAGCCGGGGTCAAGTTCAACCTCGGGGCATGGCCGGGATTCTGGTGTGTGGCCTTCTCGGCAGTGACCCACGGACATAAATAATGTCCAGCAGGCTTTGAGGCCAGACTTGAAAAATACGGATGGGTTTCAGTTGTAAGCAAGCGTGCTCTCCTCCTTCTAATGGGGAGCCCGGCAGCTGACCCCACGGCTGTCGGACAGAAGGAGGGACGGAAGTAGAGACGCTCCTCTCCCTTCCTGCCACTTCCGGTCATGCTGTCCTGGGGTCTCTGACACGGGACCCCTCTTAGACTCTCATGCGTGAGATGGACATTCAGGGCCAGCCCCTGGATGGAGGCACCAAAGCCTGTCTTGACACCTCAAGGTCTCTCTTCGGGGAGTGTGGGAAGCAGTTTTCAAACTGGGTTCCTCTGAGCCCACAGTGCCTGGGGAGGGGAGCAGGGAGGGAGGATGGAGGACCCACGGGCATAGGCTCATCCTCTGTCTGTCCTGTACACTGGGGTTATGAGTGAGAGTGGGTCTCCCTGGCTCTGTGGGCTCTTGGCCTAGTCTCCATGTGGGGCTACCTCTGGGGTACCAAACAGCGGATCAAGGCTTGCGTGGACACTGGTGGGCCCATCTCTGCAGGTGCCTCTGCTGGCTCGTGGGAGAAGAGACCTGCACCTTTCTCACCCCTCCAAGGATGGTCTGGGCTCAGCAGCCACCACACACCCTGCCAGCCGGTTAGGAACACAGCTCAGGCCCAGCCCAGGCCCGCTGAGTCAGAGCCTGCACTTGGACAGGACCCCTGTGGGTTACGGGACACATCCGGGCCCCGCAGCAGGACAGCCGGCCCGAGGCTGGACCCCACCCTCCAGACCACCTGTGCTGATGTGCCCCAACCACGAGTTACCACCTGGACCCCTATGGGCGCCTCCAGGGGCCCCTGCGTGAGCCACCCCACTCCTGAGGGAACCAGCCACTCTGGGGGACTCTCAGCTGCTGTGGTGGGGTGAAGGGGGTTCCCCAAAAGAGACATCCGTGTCCTAACCCCAGAACCTCAGAACGAGACCTTATTTGGACACGGGACTTGGCAGGTGTAACCAAATTAAGACAAGGTCACATGGTAGAAGGGCAGGCCCTAAGTCCAATGTCTGGCGTCCTTGCAGGAAGAAGGGAGATGCAGAAGGACATACAGAAGGCGGCCGCATAGGGACAGAGGCAGAGCGTGGAGGGGCGCCTGGAGCCCCCCAGAAGCTGAGAGAAGCTGGAAGGATCCAGCCTGGAAACCTTGAGAGGGAGCCCAGCCCCGCTGAGATCTGGAATTGGGACTTCAGGTCTCCAGACCTATGCGAGACCCCATCTGGGTTGCTTTAAGCCCTCGGCTGGTGGTCTCTAGTTATGGCTGCCCCGGGGTACTACCCGTTCCATGTCTCCCTGTGCCCTCAGACTGGAAGGTCTTCCACGGGTCATCACAGGACGTCTTCACCACAGCAAACCTCTGGACCCAGGACAGAGGCCAGCACACAGATGCCCCGTCTGCGTGGGGCTGGCGGCCAACTGTGTCCAGGAGCCACGCAGCCTCGTGCACCCACTGGCCTCTCAAGGAGCGAAGGCGGGTCATCTCTGTGCCCTGGTGGCCTGCGGGCAGCTGCCCATGGTCGCAGAAGGCTGGGCCAGCAGAGTTCAAGAGGGCCCCCCCTCGGCCCAGGAAGTCTTACGGTTTATTTGCCAACTCCCCATAAGGCTCCCTCTCCCTCCTTCTTTGCTCCTGCCTCCCCATCCTGCTTTTGAAACAGGATTTCTCTATCAGGAGCGAGCTTGGCTCCCAGGGACAGCTGGCAATATCTGGGAGCATTTTTGGTTATCCCACCCCTGGGGACGCTTCTGGGAAGGGCTGCTCTGGACTTTCCAACAGCAATGGCACCGGGGAGAAGCAGCCCCTTTAAAGGCCGATTCTTTGCCTCACCCAGCGTTGGCGTATCTGATGGAAGGCACGGATTTTTCTCCCCATGAATGTGCACATAAGCCCCGATCCCGCTGCAAACCAGGTAAGACTACACAACTGGATTCTCCTGGGGGCTCTCCTGGGGGCTCTCCTATTTCCTGAACTGCAAGCCCTTCGCTCCTTGTAACCACAGCACACCCCCGGGAATGACTCACTAGCCAGGGCGTCTCTCCCCAGAATAAAGGAGACGGCCACGAGCTGTTCATCGCACTGGCAGCGGTCCACGCACAGACCTCGGAGGCCGCCTCTGACCCGGGTTCTGGTCCTGCCTGCCTCTCGGAGGGTGGGGGAGAGCACCGGGCTGCCGCAGACGGAGGGTTTTTCCAACAGCCTTGGGCCTTGTTCGTGTCCCAGGAAAGGTCAGGAAGCACAGGGGCCCTCGTAAAGCCCCGTTCCTGACGCAAGAGCCTCCGGTGGGCACGGCCCAGCCCTGGCTTCAGCCACCTTGGACACTGCAGTGGTGCCGTGTACATCTTTCATTTTTAAAATGGCCCCAGTCAGCCGTGGGAAAGCCTCCTGTAGCTACAGAGCCAAACCATCAGTGAAATTCGTGGGTCACTTATGGGGAAAAGGGGGTCTTCTTTGGTGACAGTGACCACTGTCTCTATGTTGGCTTTTTATTTCAAAGTCACGATTGAGAAGATCGAGTTTCAAGAAGGATACGTGGGATGTCCCAGTCGGCTGGACTTGGAAAGGCCCCTTTCTCTCACCCTCCGCAGGAACCATGATTCTCGGTGTGGTATTAACAACAGCCCAGGAGACTCGGCCACGTCAAGCGCCTTGCCCTTGACTCAGGATCACCCACTGGCATCACACTACTGCTATCTCCGTGCTGTGGCACGGGAAGCTCGGGCCGAGCAGCCAGTGAGCCTCGGGAAGGACAGGCAGAGGCTCTGGGATCTGTCGGGGCCAGTGTTCCCTCCCAGACTCCCGGGAGCCTTCCGAGTACAAGGCTCTGAAGCCGTCGTGGGGAAGAAACGAGGGAGCGGAGAGTGCGTCGCTCACGGAACGGACCGGGCAGGTGCAGACCGGGCAGGTGCAGACCGCAGCCCCAGCTCCCAGCTCTGCACGCAGGCGCCGCGGGCTCTCCCGACTCCAACGGAGCCCGTCTGTCCCTCCAGCTGTGAATGGCCACATCAGGGCGAGGTCTACATAGTGGCCACAGCATTTACATGAGAAGCCGGGGGGCTGGCAGGGACAGGGAACCAGAACCATGCCCTAAGTCAGCGACCCGACTGCTCCCCTCTCCCGAGGGGCCCGGGCTCTGGTCACGGAAAACCCGAAAGGCCCAGCGCATCTGCAGTCGAGGTGGCTGCCCCGCCCGGGAGAGACCCCAGAGCCGCAGCAGGACTCGACGCTTGCACACCCTCGCCACTCCGACGGCGACCCCTCCTGCGGCAGAAGTGCACACCTGCCAGACAGCCGAACCCTGGCAGGAGACAGCCACCCAGAGAAACACTGTGTGTGCAACAGAACACGAGGCCCCCTGGCCGCCAGGTCTGCGGAGAGAGGGGCCCCACGGAGCAGGTCCGGGGTACTCAGGGCCGACACTAACGACGTGGCGCAGAAGGGAGCTCACACCTGCTCCTCTGCGGACCAGCTGGCCGGCCCAAGCACCCCGGGGCATCCTTACCACCGGACCCAAAGTGTTCATTACTTAAGGGCACCGTGGTTCTCAAGGATGAAACGGCGAACAGGCCAATGCTTCCTTTAAACACCCCCGCCGGCTCACGGCTCCCCCAGGCAGCCCACTGACCCTGTATCCGCAGTTTAGAGACTCCCGGATTCTCGGTTAGTCCACACAGGGACCCTGTGGCGGGCTGCGGGTGAGCCCTGCAATGCTCACGGGAGGAAGCCCCGCCCCCCGCCCTGTGCCCAGAGAGGTTAAGGAGCAGGCAGGGGTGCACACAGCGAGCGTGCTGAGAGGCTGAGAGAAGCACCCCCGTCCCATGGGCTATCCAGGCCCCCGCCTGCCACCTGGGCCGCCCTGTGTGCCGGTGAGTCAGCCCTTTACTCTCCCCAGAAAACTTTCCTTCAAAAGATTCTCAGGCTTTGCCAGGGACAGCTGCTCCGGGAAACAGTGAGGGTCAGGGATTTCCGAGCACCAGAGCCCCCCCAGGGATCGAGCCAGACCCACCTCCCCACTTGACAGATTGAGAAACTGAGGCCCCAAGAAGAGCCAAGGTCAGCACCAGGAGGGCTCCAAGGAGAGCTCGGTCCTTGGCCCCTCTGGAGGGGCGCGTCTTCCCAGGAGAGGGACTGACCGGAGCAGGAAGTGCCGTGACTCTGGAGGTCATCGCCAAGAAGACCTTACCCCTCCCCCAGAGCAGATGTCATCAGGGTTGGGGGCGCTACTTTGGGGCTCCCCAAACCCCAAAACTTAACACGCGATTGCTCCCGCAATCTCAACAGAAGCGGCCTTCACACCCGCCGTCCTGGGAGCCCGGGCTAGAGCCAGAAGGGCCCCTCCCCACACCACCTTCTGGAAACGGGCGGCGCGCCCAGCCCACGAGCCCTCAAGATGCAGGGATAGTTACGTCCTCGTCTCGCTCCAACTCCAGGCCGGCCTCCAGGAGGTTCCCCTCGTACTCCTCCCTGCGGAATCGCTTGTCGTCCTCGTGGTAGTCCATCGGGGGCTCGGGGCCCCCTGCCGCCCCCACGCTCCCCTTGCCGGGCAGGGGCTGGTCCTGGCGGGCGCCGCGGGCGGCCGGGGTGACATCGCCGTGCTGCACCCTCCTGGCCAGGGTCCTGCCGCCCGAGGGCCTCTTGGGATGGTACACCAGGACGTAGTCCACCTTGCGCCTGCCGTCCCGGAAGTAGAGGCCGTGTTTGCACTCGGCGTCGGGGTCCACAGAAAGCGAGTTCAGTAGCTGCCGTGGGAAAGAGAGATCGCTGGCCGTCAGGCTGGGCTCGCGGGGGGAGCAGGGACCAAGCCGGACGGCCTCCTCCACCCGCCCGCCCGCCTTCAGCAGAGCTGCGCTGCACGCCCGTCCCACGCGAGCGCCGTCTGCAGCTGGGGCAGCCACGCACACGGTGGCCCTGTCTTCGTGGGGGTGACACCTGAGAAGGAGACATGCACATAATCACACAGGTAGGCCAAGCCGGGCCCTCAGAGCTCGGACGGGCCCCCGGTTCTGTGGAGCCGGAGCAGGCTTCCCGGGAGGGGCCAAGCTGCTCGCAGAGACAGTGGGAAAGGCTGCCAGGCCACTCCCCCCCACACCTACCCCCGCCCCCCCACCAGAAGTGCTCCTTATTCTCTCCCGCAGGGTCTGGGGCAGCGCGGGCCGAGCCCACGGTCTGCACCAGCGACTCCCAGCCTTTGAGGGCCAGCGTGCAGTGTGCAGGGCAAGGTCATGTCGAAATGGCCACGGCCCACGACGGCCCTCACCTGGCCTGGTTCCAGCTCGGCCACTAGCTAGCTGCCTGTTAGCTTGGGTTCCCCCCAAAGCAGTCCCCGAGTTGAGCGTCTGGGTTCAGCGGTTTACCTGAGAGGTGGTCTCAGGGGCCGGATTGGGGGGCGGACAAGCACAAGGGAGGGGCTGACAAAGGGTCACTGCCTTGGACAGCTGGGCTCCCAGGTGCTGGTGCCAGAGGGTGAGGAAGCTGGGTAAGGCTAACCACCCACACCTGGATGTGAGCTCCCTGTCCTGGGCGTGGCTTCCACCTGCTCCTGCGCCAGAGGGTGCCCTGGGGGTGGGCGCGGAGAGGTGGGGTGGGGCCTGGTCTCCTTATCTGCCTGGGGGCTTCTGGCGGGGGCAGTGAGATAGAAATGTGGGCCTGCGAATTAAAATTTGGGACCCCTGCGCGGCTGTTGCTAACGCTAAACCTGTTGCTGGAACTCCTGTGGGATTTTGCTGGTTACCGAGGGCGGAGGTTAGTCGGCGAGCTGGTCTGCGGCAGTAAGAGAAACAAGTAACATCGTGCGGGAAGTATTCCAACGAGCAACCCCGCACCAGGGACAGTCCTCAGAGCCGAGCCTCACCCGTCCTGCCCCTGATCTCCTGGCTTCCACCCCACTCCCGCTAACAGCCCGAGACACGCGCGGTCGCCTGAGAACGAGGCCCTCCCACACGGAGCGTGAGGCTGGCCTGTGGCTAAAGGCAGGCCCTGAGCCCCACGGCTGGAGGACAGAGCTGTGCCTGGAGGGTCTCCCCACAAGGTCGCCTGGAGCCCTGGAATGGCTGCACCCACTGTGGGGGGCTCCTAAGGGCTGTAGCGACGGTTGGGAGAAGCAGCAAGAGTTCCCTACTCCAGGGCCAGGACGCCCGGAGGGTGGCGGACCCCATGGGGGCAGGTGTCTTTCCCAATGCCCAGCTCAGGGGCAGGGGAAGAGAGGAGAGGGAAAGAGGCAAAGTGGGGGGGGGGGGTGAGTGCGCCTAGAATATGGCAGCTGCCCAGGGAAGGAGGGAGACGGGCTTCTGGGCTGGGCCTTTTGTAGGGTCTGGATTCCTTCACCCCTGGCAGGGGAGGGAGAGTCACGCTCCTGAATCTCAGGGTCCCTGGTCGGTCCCAGGACGCGCACAGCCTGACAGGTCCCCGGAGCCGGCAGGCGGCTGGATGTATGCCGTCCACGCTCACCCATGGTACCACGGGATCCAGCGCCGCTTCGGCCGCCTTCACGGGACCCCACGGTGTAGACACCCCACTAGCCGGCTCTTACAGGTGTCTGTCCAGAGCCTCCGGGTGTAGAAGGGCAGGCAGGGTAGGGGAGAGGGGAAAGGAAGGCCCAGCCTAGCCCAGGAGAGCGTCTACAGAATACCCCAGCGTCTTTTCCAGGATCCTGTTGCAGGAAAGGCAGGAAAGAGGGGTTCTCCTCTGTTTGTCAGCGAGGACACGGAGGGTCGGTGAGGGGGGTCACAGCACAGGTGGGAGGCTGAGCCCAGCCCTGAGTCCTGTCTGCACACCCAGGGCACTGCCCAACCCCCCACAGTAACAGGGACGTGAGTAACAGTCTTCCAGGTGGCATGTCCTCTCCCTGAGCCCTGACCTGATGCGGGGGCGAGGTGGTTTGGGTCTGCTTGACCCCGAGAGAGCGGGGCTCACACCTGCAAAGCACTCAGCCCGAGCTGTCAGGGCCAGATGCCCTCCGGCTGACCCCAGGAGCCGTCTCCAAGCTTTGTGCCCAAGGACACAGCGAGGGAGGTCCTGCCCCAGCTGTTCCCAGAGCCAGGAGGTCGGGTCAGGGTGGAAGAGACGTGTGGGGCAGTGGGACGCCTCAGATAAGTCTGGGCTTGGTCCCATTCCAGCTACGAGGCCTGGGAGAGATTCTGCACCTGCTCTGGGCCTCGCCATCCTCCTCTATAAGATGGGAGGGCGATATACGTGTCCCTCTGGTGGCCAGGACGACTGTCGGAGGCACAGGACGCCCGTGTGGGATGGGTTCTCCCTCTAACTAGCAGGCCCAGCCCCTGGGGGCCATGCTGCCCCTCCCCCCCCACCCCCGCAACCAATCCCAGCAGCAACAAGGGCTGGTTCTCCTCAAGACCACAGGAGGGTCAGAGAAGGGGGCTGGCTAAGGTATCCCTCCTCCGGGGGGAGTGGACAGGAAAGCCGGACCCGGGGCTGCGTGAGGCGCAGGGAAAGAAGCCGCAGCAGGGCAGGGCAAGCCCTCAGGAGGCCGTCAGACGGGGCGGACGCAGGGTCTCCTGGTGGGCGCGGTGCAAGGGCACGCCTGCCTCCCGGGCACTCCGACTCCCACGGCCTCTGCGAGGGGCTCATCCCGGTTTCCAAATGGGGAACTGGGACCTTGCGAGCCGAGCCAGGCGCCACGTATAGGTCCTGCCTGAGCCACCTTCGCCGGCTTCCTTTCCCCACAGCCCTGGGGCTGCCTGGACTCAGGACATCCTTGTCCCCTGCTCTCCGCCTTTGCACACGGTCCACTCCCTACCTGTGTGCCTTGCCTCCCTTCTCTGTGCTTTGTAACCCTACCTGCCCTCCCAGGCGGGCAGCAGATCCCCAGCCTCCGTGCTCTGGAGGTTCCCGAGCCCTCCGGCCATGCAGGTGTCTTGGGCCAGGGCCACCCTGAAAACATCTGTTCTCAAGCTCTTGCTCACAGGGGCCTCGAAGCAGGGTGTGGGGGTCCCCAGGCAGGCCAGGGACTGTCCCTAACTCACCTCCATCTAGAACCTGCCACACACACATGCACACGGAGGACTTGGTACCTGGTGGGGGCCCCATACGTGCCCCTGGTTGGCGGGAATATTGGCTGATATTGAACAAAATGGGCAAAAGCCCCCCAGTAGAGGGAAGGAAGTTCAGAGTGAGCCCAGCAGGTCAGAGAGCAGGGCAGTTACTCCGGGGGACAGCCGAAACTCCTCCACCATCGTGAGATAGGAAAATGGTTACCAGGTTCAAAAATGAACAATAACCACTGGTCTGCTGGGGCCTGATCGGGAACCTTGGGGGCCTGACAGCCTGGGGGAGAGCAGACATATGCCCTAAACCTCTCCCTCCACCTGGAGGCCTGGAGGTGGCCCAGAGGCCTCATCTGCAATGACTGTCCTTCCACCTGCCTTCCAAGACCCGCTGTGCTCTCCCAGGTGCACAGCACAATCTCTTGGTTCTTCTGGAGCCCTTCTTGTAACGTCAGGGTCAGGGGGGATAACCGACCTCCCCGTTCAACGCGACTTCCCTCCCAGGGTTACTGGAGGATAAAACATGCCCTGTATGTGGAGTTCACAGCTGGGCCTGGCATGTGATGAACCCCCAGGAGAAGTCTGCTCTAACTGGGAATCGAGAAAACACAAATGAAGAACTAGGGGAGGACAATCTCCTGGCCAGAGTGGACCACAAGTGAAAGAGGGTGGCAGCACCGGAGCCAGACTGTTAATTTACCAAGGGAGCTGGAGGCATGGCTGGGGCCAGCAGGAGGAAGTGCAAAGCTCTGCTGCCCTAGTGTGAGAGTCCCCCGTTTCCCTCCCTGGCCTGGCCCTGTCGCTGATTCGCTCTGTGATTCCGGACCAGGTGCTTCTCCGTCTGGGTCTTAGTTTTATAAAATGGGGGTGATCCTCTCTCGGTAAGCATAAGGGGCTAGCAACCTTTAAGCAGAAAGAGTGGGGTCCGTTTCTACAATACTGTACACGGGCGAGGCGGAGCCCAGAGTCTGGAGAGGGAGTCTGGGCTAGGTTTCGGGGCAGCTGGAGAGGCAGTCTCCCCGGTGGCCGTGTATCTCTCCGGGGCCCTTCCACAGAGCAGTGGAGTGGGTGCTGTTCTTGTGCAGGAGGGGAAAAGAGATCAAGATTTAACTTACAGCAGGGAAGATGCAAGTTAGACTCTATGTAGAGCTTTACTGTTCAAAAGCTTGAGAAAACCTTCACAACGTCCTCTCCGCGCCCTTACGCAGCGCATCCTTCCTGAAGGCAGGGGGCCTGTCGCTCATCTTTTTACGCAGCTTTGGAATGAATGAAGGCGTGTACACATGCATGAACGACAGGAGCTTGGGCTCTGCACGGCGGCCGGCGGGGGTCACCCGATCAAGGACACCAGGGCCGAGACGCAGCCCGGCTGGCACCTTAAACACAGCGTTCCCTGGCTCTGAGCCTCCCTTGTTCCATCTGGTAGGTGGGGACAAAAACGTCTCCTCGACTCGCATGGACGGGAGTCACGGGAGATCTGAAAGTGTTTTGAGGATCACACCCGGAGTGTTGGTGGGATGTACTCCCAGGAGGAGCGTCCCTGAGAAAGACGGTAAAGGTGATAGAAGAGAAATGGCTCTTGGAGGAGGGCGTCGGGGACAGAGGTCCACGCCGCAGCGGGACTGCCCCCAACACTTCACAGGCAGCGAGAGGGCCGTCTACATCGGGTCCACACCTGCCTCTCCAGACTCCCTTCCCCAACTCTGAGAAGAGGGCAGAAGAGGGGAGGGGAAGGAACCCCGTGTCCACACCGTGGATGCTGGACTGTGACCAGCACTTGTTTATCTGGCTTCTCGCTTGGAGCTGGAGCTCCAGGAGCCGAAGTCACACGTGTGTATGAAATAGCCAGAGCCGGGACAAGTCTACATGATCACGTTCAGAGAATCTGTGACATTCCCTTGTTCCTAAAATGGGGAAAATGAAATCAGGAACCTGCGACGTTTCTTTCGGTTTGGGGACTCTTTGAAAACATTTGGGAACTGCACTCTCATCCCCCAAATTTTAAAATCAAATCATGGGCACTACAAGTCAATGTAGGATCCTCGGGCACCCCCCACATCCTATAGACAGGTCGCCCCCCCGCTTGCCGATCAACACAGAGGGGCTCTTCCTTTGCAGGCCGGCCGAAGCCAGCACCCAGCCCTCCCCTCCGGGGTGTCTGAGCTTGCTGGAGTGTGCGGATCAGGGCCACTGACAACCGTCAGGAAGAAAGTAGAAATTTTCAAAGATAAACACAAAGAAAACTCAGTGAAATAAACTGTGTTCAACCTGGCCCCTGGCCTTTGAAGTCATTTCTTGCACCCTGCTGTGCAGAAACAATGAGGTGATTTTTATCCTTGAACTTGGGAATGACAGGATGAGGAGAGGCCCCTGGCGCTGGCTGGCTAGTGTAGCCTGCCTGGGACGGGACTCGGGACGGCTGGCTGCGACTCCATCGACACAGCAGCGGCACGTATGGACGCCTGTCTGGGAACTCCTTGCAGTGCAGCCCACGCCCTCTGGCCTCTGCCTGCACAGAGCCACCTTCCCCCGGTGACTCAGGGTAATGACTGTGCAACAATTATTGGCTTGAACCGTGCTGGGGATGCCCTTGGAGGCTTTCCCAGGGCCCCCTGCTCCTAGGGCCGCTGCTTCCTGTCTGTCTGGCGGGACACTGCCTGGCCACCTGTCCCTCCTGCGGTCAGTGCCCCCCGTCCCTCCTGCGGTCAGTGCCCCCCGACTCACAGCTCCAAAACTGCCCCTAGTAAAAGCTATGTGCAAAATCAAAGTCAGCCGTCTCAGTCAGGTCTCGTCTGTGTGTTTCCAGACTGTGGAGACCTCGAATGGAGGGCCAAGTCTTGGCAGACCTCGTGGCCCTCACCAGGGTTTGGGGAAGGCAGAGTTTCTGGGTCCACGTAAACAACAGGTCCCTGAACTACAGGTCCAGAGACCACCGATAAGGGCTCCCATCCTTATTTCGGGTCTAACCCATCATCACGTTGAATGCCGGCTACCTCTGGAATGTCCACTCCTCTCCATCTCCTTGGGTGTGACTGTCTCTTATGCCTTCTAACTGGTGTCCCTGCATTCCCACCTCTGGGTCTTCCCATGGGAGATTTCCTTGTCTGAGACGCCCCACCCAGCCTCCACTATGGGTAGAACCAGCTCCTTGTCCAGGATGTCCGTTCCTCTGCAGGCTGCCCGTGGTCACCTGCTCCGGTCTTGGCCCCTTGCTACCTCTCCTCCCAGCCGATGGATGGCTCCCCTCTCCGCCTCAGTATCCTCACCAGAAGAAACAGCACCGACCCTATCGGGTCATGGAAATTAAGCGAGGTTATCCTCAGCCTCAGGCCGGCTGCTAGGCTGCTAAGGAAGTGTCCCTAGTGGCTGGCCCGGGCCCCCTTCCATCACCACTCCTCAAGCCCCAGATGGGCACGCCTCCCTGTCTCGTTAGCCGTGGATGCCCACGGCCTGGCCCACAGCAGGCACACAGCGTTTACACAGCCTTTGCTGAAACGATGGCTCTGAGCGGCTCAGGCCAACGGGGTTTATCACAGGCAGACACCCCTTTTGATCCACACTGGCTCCCAGTGCCCCCCACCCCAGCATCTCTGCGTGAGCTCAGCGGCAGAAGGGGTGCAGGGCCTGAGGGTCCTCACCTTTCTCAGAACGCAGCTAGCCGCCCCACCAGGAGCCCATCCCCCAGACACCTCCACAAAGGCCAGGCTCTGCCCTAGGGAGGCTGCAGCGGCAGGCCTGGATCCCGGGGGACAGAGCAAAGAAACAAGGCGGGGGCCTCAGGCAGCTGCTGTGGGGGGGTGGGGGAGAGAAAGGAGACTTTTCTCTGGTCAAGACTGAGCAGCCTGGGGTGCCCCCTGCTTCAGCAGAAGGCCCTTCTCAGCCCCTCCCTCTTGGGGCAAACTTGGTTCTAACTCTGAGCCAAATCCCTCACTGGTGACTTCTGCCCTCCAAGGACCCCTCTGACTTCTGGATCTGGTCCCCAGGAGAATGGTGGGGGTAGCAGACCCCGGATACAGGGGTCCCCAACCACGTGGCCAGCTGCCTCCCTCTTCCACTAGCACCAGGCAGGGCGCCCGCTGGGGGCTGGACCTGCCCAGAAACAAGTCCGGACCCACCAGCATCCCCCTGCTGCCCGGAGTTGGCGGGGAGGGCTAGGCGTTCCCGGGCGGGGACACGGAGTCCCGGGAACTCCGTGCTCCCAGGGCAGGTGAGGCAGTCGCTGGCGGGTCCAGCCCCAAAAGGGCGCGGCTGTCGCCAGACGGTGGCAGCGCGGTGGGGCCCCGAGGCTGCCACCCTCCCGCGGCTCCCCCAACCCCCAGCCCGCTGCCCCCCGGCACCCACGGAAGGGGGCGTCCCACCCGGGGCCCAGCCTGGCGCTCGCTCGGGCTCGGGCTCTGGCCCCAGGGTGCGGACACGCCGCGTCCGCGGGTGGGCGCCCCCCGCGCGCTCCGAGCCCCGAGAGCCCCGGGCCTCCCCGCGAGCGCGCGCGGCGCAGGTGAGCGGCCTCCCTCCGGGCGCGGCGCCCGCACTCACCGTGCCCTCGGACGGCAGGTAGCCGATGTCCTCGATGGCGCAGATGTTGATGATGTGGACGCTGCGGTCCTCCGCCGGGAGCGTCGAGTACTTCTCGTTGACCCTCATCGCGGCCGCCTGGGCGCCGGGCAGGCGGGGCGGCGCGCCCTCCGCATCCACGGCCGCGGCGGCCTCTGCGGGCGGACGGGGCAGCGTTGGCGCGCTCGCTGGGGGCCGGGCCTCCCGCCCCGCCCGCCCGCTCTCTGCTCAGCGGGGAGCCTGCTTCCCTCTCTCTCTCTCTCTCTCTCTCTCTCTCTGCCTGCCTCTCTGCCTACTTGTGATCTCTCTCTGTTTCAAATAAATAAATAAAATCTTTAAAAAAAAAAAAAAAGCGGACGTGGGTCTGATCCAGGTTCACTGCCTCCCCACTGTTCTAGAACACTCAACACAGGAATGCCACAGGGCCTTTGAACAGGTCTGGATCCCTCATTTTCTTCGGATCTCTGCTCAAGCATCTGCATCTCCTCCTCGGAAAGGCCTTTTCTAATCATTGTTCTTAAATCTCTGCGGCAGCCTTCCCAGCCCTTATAAGATGATGTTCTGGCTTTTCTGATTATTATCTATTTCCTCCCCCAGAACTTAAGTCCCCTAAGGGGGACAGAACCCATCAGTACTTTCTGCAAGTTGAATGAGTGAATCTGGAGGTGAGTAGGGCTTTCAGAGGAGGCAGCGAGGTGGAATGGGAGTACCGACAAGGACCCCGATCTATTGGCCCGTTACCAGGTCCACCAGAGAACGACGGGGAGCACTCAAGATGCGGGCCAACGGAGATGACCCAGAGCAGGGATCAACTATAGCTGGGAAGTTCCCAGACCCTGGGCTCTTAGCAAACCTTTGGTGCAACCATGTGGGTTTGCTCTGGAGGGGACCCTACAGGGACCTACAGGAGCACTTAGGTCTAGGACAGAAGCCACACTTCCTCCCACCCCAGGTGACCGGGGCCACTCCAGACACTCTCGCTGCTTCTAAGTTGGGCTGGGCCTACGACGGACACTTTCCTCAGGCTCCTCCTGACCCCTGGATGGGAGCCCCCCATTCCCACTGACCTAGGATACAGGCTCAGAGATTGCAGGTCTGGAAGGAGTCCCTGTGACTGGCCATCGGCCATACTGGCTAGGACATCTGCAGCCCACCTGACCCTGAGGGTCTGTCGTCTCCTCCCTGTGTCCTGGGCCCGGCCCCCGGTGCGCCCCCACACTGCTCTCCCCACTTACGTCCTGGCAGGCATTGTCCCCTCTGCAGGAAGCCAAGTGAGCAGGGAGTCTCTCCCGGACTCACAGACCCCTGCCCACCAGCGCGGGCCTGTGGCCCCAGAGGGCGTGCGTGACGCACAGCTCTCAGCGGGCATGCACGAGCTTACAAAGGAGGAACCCTGGCAAAGGTTTTCCTTTGCTCTGAAGTGTTTGGTTTTGGCGACCTCAGCCCATAGTGGCCGGCAAGGGACCCCTGCTGGGGTGGGGGTGGGGTCAATGGGATGCACTTCGGGCAGGAAAGTTCTGCACCTGTGGCTTGGGGGTGCTCCAGAAGGTGCCTGGCCAGATGGATCTGTGCCAGGTTCTGGATTCGGGCTGTGTGTCGAGGACGGGCCTCCCAGCAAGGCCTGGTGTGGAGCTGTGCGGGTCCCCAGTGGGGAGCCTTCCACTCCAAGCTGGGAGCACGTCCGGCACGGGCACCGCTTTGGGCCATCGCCCCCCCGCCAGAACCCCAGCGACGTGCCCCTGGACTGTGAGGGTCAAAGAGGGGGCTGGCGCCTTGGTCACCCCTACAGCTTCCAGCAGCCACATTTACCACCCCTGCAGGGAGGGGCTCGGGCGCCCCTGCAAGTGCCACAAGCCGGAGAGAAGGACGCCCCGTACAACGGCCCCACGGGCCGGAGCAGCTCTCCCGTCTGACGCAGCTACACGGGCTTAAATCAAAACCTTCTAAAAGCCCCCAAACCAGCTGCCCGCCTCCCACGTTGATGATGGGAGGCGAGATTAGGGCTGGGAGGGGTGCTGAGCTCAGGCCCTAGCAATGTCCTCACCCATGCTGTACTTGGCCTTGGTACACGTTGTTCTCTTCAGGATCTCATAGACCTGTTGCGGAGACAAGAAGGAGGGGCGGATGGTTACTCGAGGCAGCCGTGGCACGTGGAAACTGTCCCACGATGGCCGGAAAGGGACGTGGTCGCGCATGACCAGCGACTGCCACCTGCTCTCCTCTGAGGACAGACGGCTGGGCTTTCGACAGACGCGTGTCCCTAGCGCCGAGGGTGTGCCGTTCTGAGGGAGGAGTTGCTGGGACGGGAGGACTCCTGTCTCTCCCTTCCTTCCCTCTGTGAGGCACTGACGGCGTCCTGCTTTTCGGGGTTGAGAATTGTCCCCGGTGCCCCATGGGACGGGCTACTCTCCTTTCCGGCTGGGAAGGCAGGTGGGATTCCAAGCCACGGGCACCCGGCTCATAGGACCCCTCCCAGGTGTAGCCCTCGATGTTCTAGAAACCCGAGGTGGGGGCAGGTTCTGGGAGCCCATCCCGCCCTGCATCAGGAGGCGGCAGAAGCCCCCTGCAAGGTCCCACGCCACCCCAGCCCCGTGCCCCCTTGACTAACAAGACATCTCACTTGGTGGCCTCGGGAGCCCCAGCTCGGGAGTCTGCCTGCCTCTGGCCCTGGCTTCACCACATGCAGATGTGTGGTCTCCGGCAACTACCTCACCATCCCGTGCCTTAGTTTCCCTACCTGCAAAATGGGGTGACCGTGACGGGCCCTCCGGCTCCGACGTGACAGTGAGAGTGGCACTCCTCCCTCCAAGCCCTCAGCTCACCCACCGGCTGCCAGCGGCCACCCCCGGCCCTGTCCCGCCCTCTTCCATCTCCGTCCATCTTAGCCCGGGCCTAGCAACCTGGCCTCCCAGCGCTCTGCTCCGTCTCCAAACCCTCTCCCGAGAACCAGGGCCTCCCCCCTTGACGTCTTTCTGCGAGAAGCACTTGGTCCCCAAGATCTACGAGGCTGCAGGGCCGTGGCCACCCCCGCTCTGCCTCCCACTGCTCTTGTCCCGGAGCACTCCCTCCCGCTCCCTCCCACCAGTAACTGCCGATGACACGTTAGTGATCCACTCAGGCCATATCCCCGGCACCCCCGCATCCAACTGGGGGCCCCGTCCTGACCTCGCTGACTCTCCTGGAATTACCGCCTCCCATTCAGTGGGTCACGGCCTCATTCATGAGCACCTCTAAGCCTGCACCTGCCTCCACCTGCCCTCCCACAGCTGGCCACTGGCCCTCACCTTGCTCCAACAGATCTGACCACATCCTCAACCTCGCTCTGCAACCGTCTATGGCTCCCTGGCACCTGCAGCCTGAAGGTCTGTGTCCCAAGACCAATGCGATCAGCCCTTCCTGCTGATCCTGACGCCTACCCACTAGCGTGCTGGGTGACCCCGATGCCAGGAGCACGGGGAAAGAGGCAGGGAGGCCATCAGTCTCCATACCTTTGCCTAGAATGACCTCGTCCCAGCGCCGGATACTGTCGGGTCTCCAAGGCCATGGGGCCTGACTACCCAAGGACAAAGTTTCGAACTGTCAGTTTCTCTGGAGCCTTGGCCGGTTTACAAACCAGCCTTTGAGGTCTCCGGGAGAGAGCCCCCGAGCCCCCCAGAGTAAACCAGACCCTTCAGTGACCAGTCACTGACAGAACCACTTTCTGCACCTTGGGATCACGGACGGAGCTCTGTTTCATAGCAGACTCCCCGTGAGACGGGGTCTGGAGCTTTCCATCCACCTATTCCGCGCCCCTCCCCCAAAAGCAAGAGTGAATTCACGAATTTGCACCCTGCCCCATGCTTCTGGGGAGCATCTGGGCAGCCGCAGGTCATGTGACTTCAACATTCATGTTGAAACACACACGTGACTCGGTTTCCACAGCCGGTCATTCTGCCAATCCTCTATTTCCTAAAGATGCAAAAAAAGTCAAAGTGGCTGCTTCTCCCAAGGGGTCGATCTCCGGGGGAGCTGTTCCCCACCCCCAGGACACCTGTCAGCCCCGAGACGCTCCAGCTGGCTGATGTCTTCCCATCAACAAGTTCCTTCTTATTTACTACGATGAGATTTAATTGCTAAGATTAATTAGTAACACGGGTCAGGTAAACCACCGCGCTGTGGCCCAGGCCGCCCCGCACGGAGGGGCACCGCGGCGCTCTGAGCGGGAAGCCAGAACCATTCTCATTCTGATGCAGGCTCCGTGCCTCCCCAGGTCACGAGGCTGGGAGGGGACAGAGAGCAGCAGACGGGACCCGGATCTGTTTTCCTGGCAGTGGCCCGAGCCCCACTCACCAAAGCAACCCACAGCACCGAGCCTCGTCGGGCCACCTGCTGGCCTGGGGATGTGGCCGTGAGGGGCATCATCTGCTCAAGGTCAAGTGGCCGTCCTGCACCTCTGCCCCCCAGGCCGGGCTTTTGGGCGGGGGCGGCGGCAGCAGCAGCACCGGAGGCTTGGCTGCCACGTTAATTTCTTGTGCGGAGAAAAGCCGGGTCCTGAGCCGTGCATGGCCCAGCTTGGCCGGTGGACAAGTTGGCGACCGATGGATAAACATTAAACCAATACCTTCAAGAGGGCAGGGCGGCCTGGTCGGATTTCAAACTTCATTCTCTCCTCTGGCCCAGCCCCAGAAATCTGCCTCCATCGCCCCACCCCTCCTGCGACGTCTCTGGGGCCCCACCAGCTCTGCTAAGGGCCCCGCACAGGAAGGCCAGGGACAGGTGCTGGGGGGTCTGGAGTCCCCCTGCCCTTTCCTGTGGCTCCACCTGGAGCAGGAAGGGCGGGGCTTCCCCTGCTCCCCCCATCCCCAGCCGCCCCCCTCTGCTTTATGATTCTAATTATCGCTGTCACAGGCAATTAGAGCGGGCTTCCACCTGGAGGAGCTTTGCTGAAATGAAATTATCACCCGCTTCTCCCAGGGGCCGCCTTGCTGGGGAGCCAGCGAGTCCCACAGGCCGTACTTACTATCGTGCTCCGGGTTTTGCTGTCGAAAAAGGAATCCTTGTCAGACAGGTCAAATCTGTTGAAATAGCGAGAAGAAAAAGACACACAGTTCACCGGAGTCGGCTCTCCGGGTTTCCAAGGCCCTGGGAAAGCACACAGTCCCCGTGAGCCATGACCATGACACTGGGCAGGTGTGCCAGTGTGCCCCGACCCTGGGCATCTGGAACAGTCCGTGTCACTCCCCCAGGCCCCTCTGGGAGGCCTGGATACCCACACCTCCACCCAAGGATCTGCTTCCCTCTGACAATGCCCTCAGTCTCTGTGTCAACACTGCCAGCGGCGGGGACCATGCCGTCCCACCATGAGACAGTGGGGCCGTCCCACCATCAGATGCTGTCAATGCTGAAGACAATCTCCCAGTACTCCAGAGTGTCAGTCCTGAGGTCTTGGCCCCCACATATTTCCTAAGGTTGCCCGAGGGCAGAGGGGAGCCTCTGGAAGAGGTCGCCCACTGCCCCAGGCACTCAGGGTACAGCCAGGGACGGGGACTCTGTCCCCAGAGAGCCTGGAGCTCAGCGGGGCCTGGCAAGGGGTTTCCAAGTGAGGCAGCCATGGCAGAGCCAAGGGGGGCCCGGGGCGCTGCGGGTCCTAGAAGGAGGGCGCCCTGGGATCCCCCGTCCTGCAGGCGGTGTAAGGAGCTGGGCTTGGGGCCACTTTTTACAAATGTCTTATTTGGGATCCCAGGGACGATCAGGAGGTTGGAGAAAGAACCGCGGAGGCCACCGCTTGGCCCTTCCCCGTGACTCACACATTTGCCAGAGCTGAAGCCCCAGCTCTGAGCTGAGAAACAGCTCTCCATGTCCCATGAGACCAGTGGCATCCTGGAGAGCCCCCTGCCCCTGCTTGTCATCCACGTCCCTGTGGGTCCTAGAGCCCAAGTTCTCTCTGTTCCCACCACTGCCCACGCTCCAGCTCTAAGCATCGAGGCCCCACCCACCCAGAGGGCGATGCCCCACTGCCCCTCGGGAGCAGGGTACGATGGAAGGTTCCAGAACAGGTGCAGCCCTGCCAGGCAACCCTGCTGGCAGCATGTCCCCTGAGCCTCCAGCCTCCAGCTGTGGCTGGCTTTGTCCCTGCCTCCCAGAGCTTGGCCCCTTCGGGAGGCCTGGTTAGCCAGACCCTCTCACAGGAACATGGACCCCAGAGGGACGGGGCTGTAGGGGAGCGGAGAGATGCCCAGGTCCCTGCTTTGGGGCTTTGAGCCAAGCCGCATACACGCCCTCCCTTGAGCCCGTGTGTTTTCCTGAATGTCCCCCGACAGGAGGACAAGACTCGTCACCCCTCCATTCCTTAGTTAACAGTGATCTTGGAGAACATCCTTGAATCTCTTCTGTACTCAAGACCTATAAACTGTTCAGAGAAAGTGCTTCAGGGGCTGAAACCCCACTGCTTTGGGAGGACGGAGAGCTTCTCTGGCCTCAGGGGACTGTCCTACAACCTGCATCTCCCCTGTCATGTACCACGCTGTGGGGTCCACACAGCAGGGCCCCCCAGGAAGGGGCAACATAGGTGGGATGGGGGAGGGGGGAGATTCCCACTTACAGGTGCTGCTTCTCCCGGGAGAAGGGGTAGGAGAGTCTCTTTGTGGTCTGGGGTCTGTGCTCGGCCACCTTGGGCTGGATGGGGTCCGTGATTTTCTGGAGCACGGAGCTGATCTTCTTCAGGAGGCCCCGGGGCTCGTTAATGTGGTAGAGCTGCAGACCGGATTGGGAGGGGGCGTCCGCGTCATCTGTGGGCCGTGACCCTTGGAATCTATTCTCAGACAGTCACAGGACTGTCCCCCCCCAACCCCACTGAGATGGCATGTCCTGGGAACAGAACTCGGGGAGGCAGAGTAGCCCCCACTGCACCCGGTTTCCAGATAAACCCTCCAAGCTCTGACTTTGAAGACTGTCCCCGCAAAGTACAATCACAACACATCCCAGAAAACCTGCCTCTGGTCTCTGCTTTGTCTAGAAAGAGGTAGCCCATAGGGTCTCAGTGGATTTGGGAGGCCAGGGGCTGACGGACCCCCGAGAACAGCTTCACCCCCACCCCCCGCTTTCCTTTCTGCACAGGAAGGAGAACACGGCCGCCTCGTTGAGCTCAGGAGCCCGCTGTCGGACACGCCTCAGCCCTTGGTGTCCAGAGATGAAAAAGAAAGTCCCTGCAGGCTGGGCAGCGTGATTAGAGGGGGCTGGTGGGTCGGCCACGACACCACGGGGAGGAAACACCGAGCGGGAAGGCTCAGCACGTCTGTGTCTGTAACAGATGCCCCCGACGCCCCTCCCGCGCCAGCTCTTGGTGGGTGTGGTCTGGGGTCTCCGAACACCCCGCCCCAGGCTTGGAAATCAGGACGTGGGCGCCCACTGCCCGCCCCCTGGGTGTCACCGAAGGTCGCTCGGTTTCCCGCCGCAGAGCCCCGCCCGATGAGGTTCTCGCGGGCACCTGCGGACCTGGGGGGCCGCGCCCCAGCACCCACCTTCTTTGTGGGCATCTTCAGCTTCAGGAACTCGGCCTCCCTGCACAGCACGTTCCAGGGCGCGTGGATCTTTATGAATCCGACCCCGTGAATCTTGGTCTGGGGGGAGAGAAAGCCTCCGTGAGCATGGACAGCTCCAGGCAGGAAAACATCGGCATGAGCCGGGTTGAGAGGTCAGCGGCCCCTCGGTCACCCCTCCGGGCACCGCCTCGATCTGCTCCCAGAATCTCCCCCTTGTGCGTGGTGAGGGGCCAGCAGGGCCCGGAGGGGGTCCCAGGGTCCAAAACTCCCGAGGAGCTTTGAGGAGCTCAAAGCAGCACGTCCACGAAAGAGGACCTTTCACAACCGAGAGCCCGGGCCCTTGTCCCCAGTGGGTGCACTCGGTGCCCCTTGTCCCCAGGCAGGGCTGAGGAAGTGAAGGTGACCCCCTCTGGACACCTTCCCTCTGTGGGGTCAGGCACCCAGCCATCCCCTGGGGTCCCTGGGCAGCCCGGGGCAGGGGCTCGAGGGTGGGCCTGTTCAAGCCAGGAACCCCCCACCCCCGGAACTGCTGGGAGCTTGGAGGAGTCGCTCCCACACTCCCCGGGCCAGCGGGTCTGGATAGACAGGAGAACAGGGAAAGATGTGTGTGTGCAGCATGGGGTACCCTCCAGCCGCGGGAAAGGACGAAACGCAGCCATGTGCCGTGACGCGGATGGACCCAGGCCTCCCGCCCAGGCACTGCCGTGTCACCTCACGCGTGCCCTCCGCAACAAAAGAATGGGAGTCGGCTCTGAGGCCCGGTAGCTGTGTTTGCGACCTCATCCTGGTAACGTTTCCACGATGCACGGGCCCATCAGGTCACTGCGTGGGGACCTTCCACGGGAGCTGTGACCGTGCTTGATTTTTCCTGCACAAGGTCTGGGCGGTGCGGGGCCCGCAGCGCGTTGTACTGGCGGGAGTGGGGACCGCACTCCAGAGAACGCCGGCCACGCTCCTGCTTGTGGGCCACAGGCACGAGCCCCCGATGACTCTCCATTCTTCTCTGTCCCCCGTTCCCCGAATTTCGTGTTTAGGGGAGACTGTCTGGAGGCGCCCACAGCAGCAGGGAGGGGATACGAGGCACGTAGCATCAGCAGACTTTCTAAGCACCCCAAGATAACTGGGTGCCCCATGGCATTAGTGCCAACACAACAAAAAGTGAAGAAACAGGGCTTGTCCCTGAGCCAGAGCCGTCCACGGCGGAGGGGCCCGCGGTCCAGCAGACTCCTCAAGGGGACCCACGGCTTAGAGCCCAGGCTGCCCCAGATGGAGGGCCCACCCAGCTCTCCCTTCCACCATCCTGAGGTGTAAGGGACTGGCCGGGAGTCCCGGGGGAAGGGAATCAAGCTACGGGAGGGAGGGTGTCGCCAGCGCGGGCCCGGCCCTGGGCACTGGGGTCGGCTGACTCAGGGCCTGCCTCTGGCTTCCAGACCCCAAGTCACGTCACTTGTCCGGGAATGGGTATGGCCCGTGGATTCACTGCAGGTTTTGGGGGGGAAAGCAATGGAACCAGTGTCACTTGAGGGTGAATTTTAAGAAAAACCTCCTTGTGGGCCAAACACATTCACCCATCAGCCCGTGACGATGAAGCTCGCAGCCGTCCAGGAGAAGGCAGGCAGCTGGGCAGCGGGCAGAATACCCTGGGTCAGGCCCGCAGACAGAGCGACAGACGGACCCCAGCAGCACCCCACCTGGGGAAGGGGACCACCGCTGGGGCCCAGGGGAGCTGTCCTGTCCTGGGCCCAGTCCTGCTCAGGGCCTCCGCTCCCCAGCCCCACTGCCCGCAGCAGCACATGCGTGTGCCCCACACGTGTCTGTCCGCACGGTGCACGTGCACCACACCTGGACGAAAGCCACACACGGGAACCGGGATGGTGAGGAGGCCAAGACCCATGGGAGCTTGTGACGCATCAGTCCCCCTCCGTGCCCTGCTGTGTGTTTGCTCATTCAGTCCTCACCACAAGCCTATGGAATGGGCCCTACTGCTGTCCTCGTTCTAGAGCGAGGACGCCGAGACACACTCCGCCAGCTCATCAGACGACTGTCCTGGTTCCGTGTCCTAGTTCGGCTCTAACAAGTGACCACCGGGCTTAAGACAATGCAGACTCATTCCTTCATGGCTCTGGAGCCGGAAGTCCTAAACCGAGGTGTCCTTGGGGTCACGTTCCCTCTGGAGGATCTTCCTGCTGCTGGGGGCTCCGAGTATCCTGGGTTGTGACCACACCCCTCCGGCCACCTCTGCTACCATGTGGCCTCTCCCGTGGGTCTGTTTCCAATCTCTCTCTGCTTTCTCTGCTAAGGACACCTGTTAGTGCACCGAGAGCCCTCCTCAGCCCAGAGATCCTTGACTTACACCTGCAAGGACGCTTCTTCCAAATAAGGGCACGTCTGCAGGTGCCAGGTAGACATGGCTTCCCGCTGACTGTGCTGGCCCTGAATATGCCACTGAGAGCCCCACGGGGCTTTGTGCAGGGAGCCTGTCTACACAGTGAGAGGCGTTTCCAGGAAGCACGGGCCCAGGAGCTGGGGCCTGGAGCTGCCTCTGAGGAACCAGCCAGGACCAGGGTGCTGAGTGCGGAGACCCGAGGAGCGAGCGCTCAGAAGTGGGTCTGTGCGGGACAGCCTGGGAAGAGCCTGAAGTCCTGGCATGGCCCAGGGCGGGGCACAGAGTGCACAGGCTTGTGAACAGACCTATGTCAGCGAGAGCTGGAGGACCCAGCCCGGGGGCCGTGGGAGGGGGCAGCCCAGATCCTCCTGCTGTCCTCGGGGGGCCAGTCCAGCAGGCACCAGATAAGCCCGTGAGATCGGGGGCCTGAGTTGGCATCTGGCTCCATCCCTGTGTGCCTCTGGCAAGTGGCGTGACCTCTCTGAGCCCATTTCCTCATCTGCAAATCTCTGCAGCGTAAAGTTTGCTTCACAGTCAGAGGCAGCCTGGGGTTCTTAGCATTCTGGCCCGGCCCCCCAGCTGGCGGGAAGGGTCCATACAGTGAATGGTTACTGCTTCTGCTCTGGACCATCTCTCCGTGGCCAGCAGGCAGCCGAGGCCACACTGGCTTACGTGTGCGTTCACCCTTGTCCAACAAGCTCGAGGCCGCCTCCCCAGCTCGGGGAAGACCCGGAGGACAACAGAACCTGAGAGGCAGCAGCGCCCCCGGCCCAGATGGCTCATGCACGTGGGGACAATCTCATGGGGCGCCTGGAGCAGGGAGAAATGACTGTCGGGAGCCCGCGCACGGCAGAGCCTGTCTTTCCCCTTCCAGACCCGGGTCTATTTCTGGGCACAGCTCACCCACACACAGACCCAAAATATATTCTTCCCAGTCCCATGGAGAGTTCTCTCGCCAGTGGTCACGGAGCTGGTGCTTGCGGCCAGCCTGCCTGGGAAAACGTGCTCCTCTGTTGACGTGAGCAACGAGGTCTCTCCCAGGAAACATCTGGCGGGATTTGGGAAAGGGGTCGTGGGACCAGTTCGGGAAAAGCACATACGGGATGTTCTCAAACGTGGTGCCCAGCCTGACCGTCGCCCGGCCCCAGCGGGAAGAAAGCATGAGATGGCTGGGTCCCCCTTGCCCCAGCCAGGCCAATGATGTGGAATTACCTGGGAGGCCACAGACCTGCCGGGGTGCGGCCCGGGAGCACCAGGCGAGCTTGAGGCAGGGGCAGGGCCCCCGGGTGCCCACTGGACATGCCCACCAGGCCGGGAGCTCTCCCGGCGCAAACAGAGTGTGTTCAAGCCTCCATTCAGAGCCCAGCTCGCAGACACTGTGACCTGACCAGAACTGTTTCTGGCATTTTCCTTTCCAAAGCAAGAAGAAAGGCACAAACGAAGCCAACATAACAGTGGTGGTGGTTGAGCACCCCTGGGGCTCCCCCCACGTCCCCATGGCCACCTGCGGGCCTGGACGTTCCAAGTCGGCGGGCCGGATCACGTGTTTCCGCCATCTGGCCACGGCCCCCCGTGGTGGCTGAGGCACGGGCTGGGGATCGCTGGGAGGTTCGCATCAGGGAGGACCTCCCTCGGCCAGTTCTGCTTGCCCTCAGATCCCCGGAGAGCTCCCGGCAGTACCGTCTCCTCTTCCTGCCCTGCGGACCCACAGGCCGCTTCCTGCCCTGGGCACCTCGCAGGGCAGACAGAGGGAACTAGGGGACCCCTGGCTGCCACTGCCACCAGGGGAGTCTCCGCAGCCACGCCCGGTGTGTGTGTGCCCGAGCCACGGGCATGGTGCCATGTGCCAGCAGGGACTCAGAGACTTTGCCTGAGCTCCTTCTGGAAGGGGAAGCCCACGAGGGGCTTGGGCCCCGACCCTGACGGCCACGGGGCCTCGATGTCCTCAGCTTCCGACAGGGACCCTGCCACCCCCGGTGGGAGTCGTGAGCAGGAGGGCCCAGAGCCCCCTCCGGACCCTGGCCTCGGGATGTTGGGGCTGCCCTGGGGGAGGAGGGCCCGTGTTCCCGGCACCAGGCATGTGTTGGCGTGGAGAGGTGGCCCACGGACTCGCATGACCCACGTCTTGTCACGGCTTCTGTGGACCCCACCCACGCCGCCCGGGAGGAGGGGCTTCAGTCACTCAGGGACCGTCCCATCGTACGCAGGGGTGACGGGGCCTCGTGCATCATCGGGGCGATGCACCGGGGTCGAGGCTCAGGCACGCGTGGGACCAGCCGACGCTGCCCCTGCGGGTGGCCGAGAAGCTGTGGGAGGACCGGGCAGGGGCATCTGTGCCCCGGTGCTGGCACGGGTCCGGCCCAAGCCCAGCGTGCTGAAGGAAGACACGACAGGTGAGTCACCGAAAACAGTCACTCAGGGTCCTGCTCTGCGACAAGCCGGTGGAGGACTCACCCGCCCTCCACGGGAAACAGTACAGCGCGTGGGACAGAGAGTAGAAGAAAATAAGGATCGCGGCGGCAGAGCGGCTCCAGAGGGAAGGGCCTGGCGCTGCTGCGTTCAGAACGGGGACCAAGGTGGGGTCGTTCCAGGGCAGCACCAGACCTGCCCCTGGGGAGCCGGATCCCCCCAGAAAGGCCCCCCCCACCCTGGGTTGCTAGTGCCGAGCAGAGCTGGACAAGGGTGGGGAGGG